ACTTGAGGAGCAAGGGACAGCGATAAAGGGAGTGGGAGCATTTTGTTTCTGGAGACTTGAGGCTAAAACATGAGATGAAGTGTGAGTCATTGTGAAGTCAAAGGGTCAGGACAGGTTAGGGCTGGGCAAGCTGACTGTGCAAATGGACACTGGGGATTATTATTTTTTAAATAAATGGGCCCAGGATCAGATAAAACCCAACTAACTAGATAACATGGCAAACTAGAGCTGAGGTCCCAACTTTTTTTGGTGGCTTGGTAGGTAACGACATTAGCCCAGCATCTGTAGCTGTCACTGGCATTTCTTTTAAAACTTGCATCCTTACCTACAAGACACATGATACATGAGCTTTTCAGGTCCTGTGTTGGTGATGGGTCTTGTGGAAGGATAGTTTGCTGACAGTTGTAGCCAAGGCTTGTGCATCAAGGAGACTCGTTAGTCCTGATCTGATGTTTCCTGTGTTTCACCACGTGGCAGCATGGGCCTAAATGGCAGGCACTCACCAGCTTTCCCCTATTCTTCTTTCCTTGGCCCTAACCTTTCGGTTACTCATGCTGCACAAGCACAACACACACCCCGAAACTTTTCTCCTCTAGAGGTTCAATCGATACATGGAGCAAACCATGAACATATTTCTCGTAATCTCAAGATTAGACCACTGTAATGTGCTCTACGTGGGGCTGCCTTTGAAGCTGACACGGAAACTCCAGGTGGTGCAGAATGCAGTGGCCAGACTCCTTACCGGAGTGAGAAAATACCAACATATTTCTCCTACCCTGGCCATGCTGCACTGGCTGCCTATCCGTTTCTGCATGGACTTCAAAGTGTTAATGTTTACCTATAAGGCTCTAAACAGTTTAGGACCTCGATACTTGGCAGAACGCCTGCTCCCACCAAGATCTACCCGGATCACCCGCATGAGCCAGGAGGTGAGGCTGAGGAGCCTAACGCTGAGGGAGGCCCGGAAGGAAAGGACACGAAATCGGGCCTTCTCGGCGGTGGCTCCTCGACTCTGGAATAACCTTCCTCCAGCGATTCGTGCGGCCCCCACACTGGGCACCTTTAAGAGTCAACTAAAAACATGGATGTATATTCAGGCCTTCCCTCCTGTCAATACTTAATTTTTCTTTTATTCTTTTTTATTTATTATCTGTTTTATTATTGTATGTGTTATGGATTGTTTTTAATTTTTTTTAATTGTACAGTATATAAGTTTATTGGAAGCTGCCCAGAGTGGTTAAACAGACCAGGTGGGCAGGATACAAATCAAATCAAATCAATCAATCAATCAATCAATCAATCAATCAATCAATCAATCAATCAATCAATCAATCAATCAATCAATCAATCAATCAATCAATCAATCAATCAATCAATAAAAAGAGTAGACTATGTCTAGATGGGCGGCATATAAATGCAATAAATAAATAAATAAATAAAATAAATATCCAGGAGTGTAAACCCCTGTTGTGCATTGCCTCCTGTATATTGACATACAACCAATCCACTGTGCAGTGGCCGCAGACAAGACAGCCATGTCTTTCCCTGGCGTCAACACCAAGAGAATGTAGAAAGGGACAATATCTTCCCTGTAAGCCACTCTTCCCTAGTGATGAACTTTGAGGCATAGTCATCATCTCCATAGCTACAGCTATAGCTAAGGAAACTGCAAAAATGCAGGCAGCTTCATTGATCTGTTGGTCTGGCCTCTCTCCTTGATCTAAAGGAACTTTGCATTGCATCAGGGTAGCTCACTCCAAGATACTGTTGCCAGGGGGGGGAAATTATTCACTGTGCCCCCCCCACCTCCTCCGAGGATTCCAGAGGACAGAGGCAAGTTAATGGCTGGCAGCATCTTGGTTGATCACAAAGTTTCAGGATTTCAACTCTAGAAGTCTTTTGCGTTCTTGGCAGATAGTATCACGCATCCCAACTTTCTTTCAAAGGTAACGTGTGGCTTCCACATTCCATTGCAAGTTGTCTTATTCCCTGAAGAAACAATCCTGTTCATTTAGGATCCCGTAAAAGGCACCTTAAGAGAGGCTTTGCAATTTGTAAACATATTTAAATTTGATAGGTTTATTGCGCAAAATCCAGGGAAAAGGGTTGCGCACACTGCCTCTACTTGCTGACCATTTTTATTCCAGAAAACCCCATCCTTATTCACTTGAAAGAGCAGCAGGTGCTCTGTGGTTTTCTTAAAAATAAATTGGCACCCGCACTTGTTTTGCATAAAACAGTTACTGGGTTTCGTGTGTGACAGCTCACTTGTAGCAGATGTGTTATTCCTTTCCACCACACCAGCCAACATACAGTTAGAAAGACTTTCTGTGTTCTCTTTGTCATCTTTTGTTGGGGTAACAGAGGGGGACAGTGGGAAAGTGTTCCAGCTTGGCAGTGAATATGGTGGAATTGGGAAAGGAAGTACATAGTCATGTAAAGGTTATTCATGATGGTGAATGTGTCTGTGACTATAAACACATACCTACTGTACAGAGCAGATACCTAATATGAAGCCAATGGAAATTGCTAAAGCTGATGTAATGGACAATAGATGGGAAGCCGTCTTCTACCCCAATTCCTTCCTTTTCTAGTGCTTAGGGCACTGGTGTTTTAACAAGTTGTTGCCAAAATGTATTTAAAAGCATTCTAACTGACTACCACTGTTACTCCAAATCTTATAAAAATGGCTATAAATCTCTTGTCACCCCCATTCAAAATGCCTGGAATAACCACAATTTAACCATTGTAAAAAGTAGTTAGTAACTATCGCCATCTAATGGAAGCAAAGTGAGTTACATGTCATAAATGTGGTTTTTTTTATAAACCATCTGCAAATCAATGAACTGAGTCTAAGAACAAGTGTCGAAAACATTTCTTCCATCTTGTGTCACCAGGCCATGCTGTTCATACTCTTAGATCTCCCTCTACTGCTGAAGTGAAAGTCTCTACATGGACATCCAAAGGGACAAAAAGCAATGAAAAGATAGCTCATGGTTTAAGTATCTGGGCTGGGGGTTCAATTCCCCACTGTGCCTCCTTGACAGGGCTGGATTCCATAGTCCATAGGGTCCCTTCTGGCTGTACAGTTCTGATTACAGAAAAACAATGCAGAATCATAAAAGGCTCACTGGCTTTCAAAAAATTTGGGAATCAAGCAAAGATCACAGGCAATTGTTTGGCCACTCTGAGAAAGCGTATGCTGGATATATATTTCATCTTCTCCAACATGGCTCTTCGTATGCAAAATCATCCAAAACTGATAGGCAGGTGTCCTTATTAAGAACAACTGTACAGTAATGCCACAATAGTGTGAAAGCAAGCCTTGAAGTTCTCTTCTGCAGTCCAGGTGAGGAGAAGCATAGTAAAGAAAAGAATAAAATTATTATTTATTTTCTTGTGATCATGTTGGTCCATAGGAACAAAACCAAATAAAAAAAAAATTCCCAGGCAAGCATTATCTTTAACAGGACTGATTATACATTATAAACAGTAACATGCAAGCTTCCAGATTCTCCAAAACACTTAATCAAGCTACAAAATAAACAATGGGTGTGTGTGTGTCCAAAAACATGTGTCAAAGAAAATTATCTTTAGACGTTGGTCACGAGAAGGTCTACAGGCAGAACCTTTGACCACTTCTTGCTGGTTCTCAGCATCAATAGGGCACATGTGAAGCACATGTGTGGTGTCTTTCCTTCCTGGCTAGAGATGGGAATATCTCAAGGTGGTCACTGGAGCAATTGCTGTGGTCACTCTGAAGGCTTCCAAGTTCACCTTGAGCTTACCTGCAAACTTTCCACTGATTGAGGGGTAAATGTAACAGTATATGTTGTGAGTGATTAGTGATTTATTTTATTTTATTTATTTATTTACAGGATTTTTTTTAGTCTGTTTGGCCACTCTGTTTGGCCAATGGTCTCTGAGTGGCGTACAGTAATATTAAAACTTTAGGAAAACATTAAAACCATTAAAATAATACCCAATATATATTTACCCAATATTAAAACAGTTAATTTATAATTAATAGATCCTGCTGCTCATACAGCCAATGAAAGGATACTAATTAATTAAAATGCTGACTAAACAGAAAAGTCTTTGCCTGGCGCCGAAAAGCCAAAAGTGCATCTCTATAGGGAGGGCGTTCGAATGTTGGGGAGCAACAGCCAAGAAGGTCCTATTTCGACATGCCACCCCCTCACCTCTTTCAGGTATGGCACCTTCAGAAGGGCCTCCTGGCCTGATCTTAAGAGGACGGGCAGGCTCATATGGAAGAAGGGGGTTATTAGTTATCCTGCAAAGAGGTGACTTGGTTTTAAATTCAGATATTGACCTTTCAGTTTCACAAAAGACCAGCTCCTGGTGACTAAACTGCTAGAGCAGGTTTGGTAAATGGGATCAACATGGGTGTTTTAGTCTCTCTTGAGGAAATACGGCCCGGGAGATGTATTTGAGAAAGGAAAAGGAGACCAAGAGTTGTTTCATTTTTAAAGAGAAATGGAGCACAATGTATGAAGTAAACCTTTTGAGTATATCCTGGGGGTGAAGGGATGCACCTGAAGTTCATTGTATTATGTACAGTATTTTGAGTTCTTTATTTTTTGTATTTTTCTTTATTCGCATTTTTGTACTAATACATTAAAAAAAAAGATCCCGGAATTTCCAAGAGTAGTGACAGGACTTCAAAATGTAATCCTAGGGCCACTTAGGTCAGTCACTGGTATTATTAATCTTGATTTCAATCTATGTCCATTACACTACTTTATCACTGCAGAGTGGATGTTTTCACTCTCCAGCTCAAGAACTGTTAATAAATATATTTATAAATACACAAGGCACTCGAAAACCAGTTCATCCACCACGCCCGCAGTTCACGCACGCGCAGTAGGCTCCATAAAGGCGAACTTTTTTTTTTTGCCCCTCAGCTCCGGCCTCCGGGCGTCGTCCCTTTTTCTCTATGACCATGGGCAAACCAGAGCGTCCGCAACTGCGGAGGAAGGTAAAAATCGTGGCACCTAAGAACATCAGACCGGAAGTAAAGGGACGCTCTGTATCGAGCAGGAAGTGAAGCGCCTTGAGAAGCAAAATCGTACAGAACCATAATAATTGTCCAGGCACGACTTAAGTCGTAATAGTAGTTTTGGCAAACAGACGTGATTGCCCGACGATTTGTTGCAGCAACTCGTACCAGAATACCCTTTCCCTCTCGGTAACCGGAAGCGGGAGGGGCAGATTTCGTGACTGCACTGACCTTCGACCCAGACGTACTTCTCTTCGTGGCTCTGCCGCGGTAGCGCACGCTGGTTTGTCGAGCGGCCATCCCTCGTCCCGCCAGCCTCATGGGGAAATCACGGCGGAGAACAGCTCCGGCTTGGAAGCCCCAGGAACAAAAGGAAGAAAAGATAGAGGAGCCCGAGCCGGGAGTGCTGTCTGTCACGGAGGAGGCGGATGATTTCCACGAGCGGCGGCTCGAGGAGGCGGTGCTGGCAGCGCTGGGCAGTGAGGATGATGATGAAGGGGAAGCGGAGGACGAGGAGGAGGTCCTGGAACTGGACCTTTCCGAAGAGAACGACAGCGAAGAGGAGGGAGAAGGGGAAAATGGCGAGGAGGAGGGTGATGCTGACGACGACGACAATATGGACGAACCCCTGGACATGGACAGTGACCTAGAAGAGGGATGGGGTGCCGCCGGTGGGCACTCAGGCCTCCCCGATGAGCTTGCTTGGGGTCAGCGAAAGCAGCTGTATTATGGCACTGACTATGATAAACCTGTCGCCGCCCGTTCCAAGGCTGCCAAGAAGAGCCAGGAGGAAGCGGAAGCTGAGGAGCTGGAGGAAGAGGAGGCGGCCCAGGCCATTCAGAAACGACTGGCACAGAGTTTGGGTGAGGACGATTATGGCCTCGATCTGGTCCAGAGTTACGTGAAGGCAACCGAGCAACCAAGTGAAAAAGACTCAGGGCGGAAAATTGCCAAAGATTTGCAGTCTCTTTCTAAAAAGGAGCAGCTGAAGTTGTTGAAAAAGGAATCTCCAGAGTTGCTGGAACTGATTCGGGACTTTGAAGCAAAATTAACTGAGCTTAAAGATGAACTGGAGCCGCTGATACATATGGTAAGAGATGGGGTCATTCCGCAAGGGAAAGGCAGCCAGTACTTGCAGATCAAATATCACCTCTATTTAAACTATTGTTGTAACATCAGTTTTTACTTGGTGTTGAAGGCAAAAAGGATCCCAGTCCATGGCCATCCTGTCATTGAAAGACTTGTAACATACAGAAACTTAATAAACGATTTAGCAATTGTGGACCAAAAACTGTCTCCAGAGGTTCGCAGGCTGCTTCGTGAATTTCATAACGATAATGCTGATGGGATGGAAGGTAAAAAGAAGTCCTTGTTATCTGTCAGGAAGTCTGTCAGTAAAAGCAAACCAGAAACTCTTTGTAAGCTTTCTAACGGCAAGGCTGCTGAAGAATGTATAGAGGATTCAGATTTTGATGAACAGGCTGCTCTAAATTATTATAAAGAGATGGAAGGAAAGATAAAACTTAAGAGAAAGAGGAAACAAGAAGAAAGAGAAGTTGATGAAGAAGTGATTATGGAAGAGGAATTACCAGGTCAAAAGAGAGGTGCAACGTACCAGATTGTCAAGAATAAAGGTCTCACACCCAAGAGGAAGAAGATTGATCGTAATCCAAGAGTCAAGCACCGTGAGAAGTTTAGGCGGGCCAAAATTCGTAGGAAGGGACAAGTTCCAGAGGTCCGAAGAGAAGAACAAAGATATGGAGGTGAACTGTTTGGCATTCATGCTGGAGTTAAGAAGAGTATCAAGCTTAAGTGATTTACTTCAATCAACTTTTTTTTACAAGCTGGAAATAGTAAATGTGAGCTTAATAAATATAATTTTTAGGGGAAAGAAATGCAGTTTGTGTTCATTTTAGTACAATAAACCCAAAATTATTCTTATTTCTATAGGTTGCATCCAGTCTTTTGGAGGCGTGTAATAGACCTAGCCTTTCATCCTTCTGAGTTCGGTATATTGAGTACCCAACTTGCTGGTGTGTGTGATGTGTAGCCTTCATAATTAAATTGTAAACTGCCTGGCCTGGAGAGTGCGTTAAGCACTATGGGGAGGTATATAGGCAACAAATGTTGCTTTTTTGCTTTACTACTGAGCCTGAATGAGAGTAATCCTTGTTTCCATCACATGTTTCAAATTCTAAGTGGCAATAATAACGCATTGACTGAGATTGAGTGGAAAGATGAAGGCTGGTTGGTTATTTGGCTTAGATGAAGTCACTGGCAAAACTCAACCTGGCCAATCTGGGATGCTTGTTCTGTAGGCAAAGGGGAAAAGAGCCAAACCCCTCACTGGGCAAGCAACAAAAATGTAAACCCTTAAGGGTCAGCTTTCCCTTATTTAGGGAATGTCTGTCTGTCTGTGTGTGTGTTCTGTGCTGCCAAGTTGGAAGCAACTTACAGCAACCGTAATAGGGCTTTCGAACCCTGTTCTCCAGGTAAGGCCAGTTGCACACCCCCAGTGAGTTTCCATGTCTGAGTTGGGATTCAAACCCTGTTCTCCAGAGTAAAGTAAGGCCAGTTGCACTCCCCCAATGAGTTTCCATGGCTGATTCGAACCCTGTTCTCCAGAGTCCTGGTCCATCACTATCCACTACGACACTCTGGGAATCTTCCATTTAGGAAGTAGCAAGAACTGAATCCTCAGTCTCTACATTTGGCATCAGAGAAGAACTGAACCCCTGCTGACCGCTGGCTACTTAGCTGGCATGTGTGTGTGGGTCCAGAACTCAGTCCTGTCTCATTTCATGGCCCCAGGAATTGCTCCCTTCCCTTACCAGCTCCCCATAGCAAGGGACTATGACTTAGACACACACCTGGGGGAGGGGAACCTGTCCTCCCTCAGGGCATGGCAAGTGAGTCCTCAGTGGCCAAGCCCCAGATCTTGACGAGGGTCAAGAACTTGCCGTCTTGGGTGGCCAGTCCCCCTCCCATCCTTTGAGATGGGCAAGAAACGAACTCCATGGGCAGGACGAAGCCCCTCATAAACCAGCCCCTCATATGTTGTGGGGCAAGGAAGCACACAACCTCAAGAGTCTCATGGGGAGGAACGGGGGAGCCCACCCATCCACCCCAGTCCCCGGGGAGAGGGGGAACCAAGAAGGACGGCCGCCCCGCCGCCTCAAGCGGCAAGTCGTGCCCACCCGCTTCCCCTCACGTGAGGGAAAGGCCTGGGCGGCCCGAGGAAGAAGCGGCTCTCAGGCGGCGGCGGCGGGGCGGAGTCCCGCGAGGGGGCCGGCTCGAGTCACTCCACCTCCGGGCCGGTGGGGAGGCCCAAGAAAGGCGGGGGGGGGAAAGGGGGGCCGGCTTATGGCGGAGGCATGGCCGCCGCCGTGGCTGCGTCTCCTCGCCCGCTCTGAGGGAAAAGTTGCCCCTTCCTTCTCGCCAGGCGGCGGAAAGAGGCGAAGAAAGAGAAATAGAAGGAGAAGAAGGGAGGCGGCGGCCGGCTGAGGAGCTGCGGGGACCGCCGCTCGCCTGCCTCCAGAGAAGATGGAGCGGACCTCCCCACCGGCCGCTGAGGGGGAGCGGCCGGAGGGCGACGGCGGAGGGGAGCCGGAGCGAGAGGAGGAGGAGGAAGAAGGAGAAGAGGCACCCCCTGACTCGCCCCCTTACTTCCTTCTCTACCCCGGC